AAGGCTATATATATATAAAGTTATAAGCAGACTTAGGATTGGGGACGGCAATATATATATATATATTCTTTTATGTCTGTAACCCTATTCTTTTAATATCTTGAAAAGGAAAAACAGAGGCTCTGGAATGTGAAGAGAGATACACAGTGAGGGTCTTGAGAGGTGAATTAAGGGGATTGTGCGTGGGTTGAACCAAGACATAACAAGGGTAGAGAACAGTGATGAGAGGAGGGAACAGTCTTGGAGAATTTAGCAACGACGTTGAAAGGTTTCGAACCGAAACCTAAAGGCAAGTTTCAGACTATCTCTTTCCCCATAAACTTGTGTTCTGTGCATCTTATATAGACTCCAGGAACTTAATTAAACTATTAAAAACGGATTTTATGCATTGCTAGATGATTTCTGAAATCTGTTCTGTGTTTTTAAAGTTTAAACCCGTTGTTGCTTAAACTATTCTGTTGTGAGTTTAATTTCTGTCGTTTGATTTACACTGGAGTATGAGAGGTTCTAGGACTATAAGAACTTAAATAGTATCCAAAGAATGCTACAAAAGTTTGGGATATGACACTGGACTTCGCCGGAAGCGAAGAAGAACTGAATTGGTTGGTTGCATAAACTGTTTTTGTCTTCAAATTAGATTTTTGCCAAACTATTCTTAGGGAAATCAAAGGAGTTTCTAGGAGTATTAGGGCTTAAATTGAACTATTAAAATCCTTAAGAAACTTAGGACAAACAGTTGGAACTTCTGCCGGAAGCAAAGACGAAGTAGTGAAGCAGAGAGGGGCTCTCAGGGGTGAGAGCCGGCTCCTAAATGGTGGGAGCCGGCTCCCATGAAGAGAGAGCCGGCTCTCCATGAGGGAGAGCCGGCTCTAGAAGCCTAGGAGCCGGCTCCAATAAAGGGGAGCCGGCTCCCATGGGAAAAAAACCCCTACGGGTGTTTTCTGTAATTTTTCTGAAGTTCAGGGGCTTAAAGGTAATTACTGAAAAGTGATGGGGGGTTTTAAATGATTAAAATTAACTTGTTAAAGCCTTCAAATAGTTGGTTTATGCTAAGGTGCTAAACCTAAATGCATGTCATAAAACATAAGCTTATAATAGGCCTACTGTCAAGGAAGGAGGAATGCTTGTTTTGCTAAGTTGTTTTGACAACTTAATTTAGACTGACATTGTAATTACTGTTAGAATTTATATCAATGATATATTTAGCGTAGCTCAGTTCCAGGAATGTTGGTTATGAAGTCATGTACCCTTATCTAATAAGCTGCATATTGTCGGGAATAGTGGAAGATTAGTTGCTAGTTTTGTGTTAGCAAATTAAATGGAACTCATATAAAATACTTTTTGAAGTTTCATATGATGTACTTAAACTTTGGAGTGTCATTATATCCGACACAGAATTTATAATGGGGAATTACATAGATGCCATGAGTTTTAATTATACATTTGCATGCCGTAAAGGATATGGGAGGATTTAAATGCTAGTCATCATTTTAACATCTTAAACGAACTAGTATGGATGTGTTGTTTTGGAATTCTAGTATAATGTACAGTTTAAAATTCTGATATTCATTATATTATGTTATGAAGGATAATTGTTGAACTGTCTTAATTTTCTGTTCTGTCAATTACATGGAAATGGATGGTTTAAATTGTTTATTCTTATTTTAACAATTTAAAAGGAGGATCTACGAATATAATCATACACTGGATGAATGATAGGAGCTTATTTATATCTGATTTCTATTATGTTGGTTCTGGATATACTTGATGTTCATTTTGAGTGTGCATCATGTGCGGATCATATGCATTATATGTACCGGTATGGGACGGTGACATATCAGGGATGGATTAGATCAAAAAGCTAAGTCCTACCCCTTTCATACATACGGAATGGATTAACTAAAATAGTTAAATCCTACATGGATGCATGACCTGTCAACTAAAACAGTTGAACGACATAACAGATGTTTGTTTTATTTTTCTGCATTAGGAAAGAATTTATATATATTTTTATGGTACCGTGATACGAGCTTGAGTCTCCTGATCACGGTTAGGGTGCGTATATTGCAAAGGTTGAGTAGCTAGATATAGTTAATGTTCCCTGGTAGGTCTAGGTACTTGGCCGCTGAAAAGCGTGTTTTATATGTCACCTTCTACCCAGGCTGAACTATGTTATAGGCTAGTGAGCATCCTATAGTGTGTATTTATATATCTATGGACTATTGTAGATATTGCCGAGCTATCTAGGATGTATCTGCGTATCGGGTTTATGTACAGATTGTAGTAGGATGAAACTTGCATGTGGGCCTGACCCACCTTTATTTTTCAGTTGTTCGTGAGTACCAGACTTAGGGTTTGATCATGGTGATGCAGATACAGTCACTCACTCTTCTGACTACATAGGATTTTCTTTCTTATTTTGGTTTTGGATTTTAATTCTGTAAATGTTTTACCAGTTGGAAATATTAGGGGTCCACTAGATGGATTCCCGAGTTGTACGGATTGGAAATTTATTTATATTAAAACTTTTATTTTGGAGGTTTTACAATTAGAATTCTTTTCAGCGTATAATTATTTTATTCTTAATTCAGTTTTATTCCTGCTTGTTTATATATTGATTGTCTGGTATCCTTCGGATCTGTGCCTGGACTTGATCACCCGTGGTTCTAGAATCGAGGGGTATCACAGTACGCTCTACCCATAAGCATTTATTCAATACTTTGCTTTATGGGAGAGACACAGAAAATGCTTTGTTCTCTAATGAAAAGTTGAATGATGAAGAGAGTCATGATGATCAGGCTCAAGTTTTTATTGCTCAAGAGAAGAAGAGATTTGGAGCTTCAAGAAACCTTGTGCCATTATCAGAGAAAAGATGCTATAAGTGTATTGTCCAGAAAGAAAGGAGAGTGCATCCGCTGCCGTTATTATGTCTGAAGATACAAAAGAAGAGAGTGATAATGATGAAGCATTATCAATCCTTGAAAATAAGGGAGAAGCTAAGGAATGGATACTTGATTCTGCTTGTTCCTTTCATGTGTGTCCTCATAAAGAATGGTTTTCTACCTACAAACTTGTAGGTGGTAAGGTATTTATGGGAAATAATGCCTCTTGCGATATTATAGGAATTTGAATAATTAAAATCAAGACAATGAATGGTTTGGTAAGAACCCTAATGAATGCACGCCAAATTCCAAGTGTTAGAAGGAATGTGATCTCTGTGGGAGCATTGGATTCCAAAGGTTGTTGGTGTAAAGTGAAAAATGGATTAATGAAGATTAGAAGAGGGCCACGTGTCATGCTTTTGGGAAGGAAGGTCAACATTCTATATATTCTGTTGGGAAATACTATGTTAGGTGGAGCAATTGCAAAGATGGAATGGAAGCCAGTTTCGAGATCTACTAGAATAAAGAATCAAGAACAACAAGAGAAGGAAGAAGTCTTGACAATTGTAAGAGTACCGGCCTTTATTCCAAAAGCAAAAAGAGTTTAATTTGGTGATGCGAAAGTAGATTCCATGTTTAATTATTTGAGCTTAGAATTTGCTAAGAATAGATGAGTATAGTGGTGCGGCGAAGAACGACAAGAAGAAGAGTGATGAATTTGAGAAAATGTGAAAATTGTTAAAGTGTTTCTCAATTTCATCATAGTGATTTATTTGAGGTGGAGAAATCTTTGTTCAATGTGGAGTGATCTTCATTCGAGGTGGAGCTGTAGAGGAGCGTGTGAAGACCGATTTCGAGCCAAGGTGGAGATTGTTTGGTTTGTGGCTCAAAATTGTCTACAGAAATTAATTTCCTTTTCCGTTTTGGAATATTGAAAATAATTTCGTTTTATTTTTTCCATTTTGGAATGTTGAAATTTGTTAAGGAAATTGTGTTTCATAAAGTTTCTATTTTAGAGTTGGGATTGATATGGTAACTCTTTATAGGCAAGTTGGGGAATACTTGTCCAATAAGGATTTGGGTTTGAAAACTCTATAAATAGATATGGGTTTGAGAGAGGGTAAATTGTAGAGATAAAAAAGAGAGTTGAGATTGAGAAAGAGAGAGAGAGAATAGTGTGTAATCAAGTTTTTGAAATAAAGTTAGTCGTTCTTCGTCCGTGGACTAGGCAATTTGCTAAACCACGTAAATCTCGTTTTTTGTTTGTGCGGGATTTTTTATCTGTTATATTTGCCAATTGTGTGTGTGAAACCCTAACAACACTGACACACATATATAGTAATGATTTGGCCCATCAGAAACAAATTTAATCTACTTATTCAAACACGTGGCATCTAGTTGTCTTTTTTTTTTTTTTTTTTGACTCAGTTCAACTCATTCTCCCACTTATTTTCATTTAGGGTTACAAATGAACAGCCAACCTAAGTTTGAGTCTATTTATACTCCGCTCTTTGGTTTGTCGGTTCAATTCAAAATCGTGATGAATTAAAAAAATTAAGTTCGAGTTCAACTCGTCATTATTTTGAAAAATTTGGAATCAACTAGTTTAATAATAAAAGTTGGTTGGGCTTGATTTGAACTCGTGTTCAAGATTGTACGAGCCTAGACAAATTTATGTTCATGAAGCTATTCAAGTTTATATTTATTAATGAGTTCACGAACATATACAAATCTACACAAATTTATGTTGACGGGCCTAATCACTATTATTCAAGATTAACTTATTTAATTACTAAACGAGATTACAAATAAAATTATAACTCAATTCATTTATTTAAAAAATGACTTCGAAGTTCAAACCGAACATTAAAAGGATCCGAGTTCCATAGACACTAGATATTAATTTACAACCGTTACCAGTCTCCAACGTTATATACATACTAGTACACATAGACACATATGAATCATGATGAATAAATTGATGCTGACATTAGCTCTTCCGAACCGTCTGATCAAAGCAACCGCGAAACTTTTACAAAAGTCCCATCACTCGCGCGTACGTGTCAGATTTACCCCGACACCTCCTTTAAGCGCCTCTCTCTCTCTCTCCTCTCTCCGCCGTACTGACTTCACTGCCTTGACGACTTTCGTCCTCACTCACTCTCTCTCTATCTCTCTCTCTCTCTATATAACACATATAGTTGTATATATTTATACAGTCTCGTCTCACATTCTCTCTCATCCAGTCATTTCTCCGGAGATGCTTGTTGGGTAGGTTCTAAAGTTCTTATTTGTGTGTTTATATATATATATGTATATAAATACAATCATTGTTTGTAAATATTTGCTTGGTTTTTCTAAAAAGGGGTGATTTTGTTTTTTTGAATTGAAGTTTTCTCTGCATTGAAGATCAATGGGAGTGAGAGATTGGCGCTGAACTATCAAAGGTGAGACTTTGAACTGTTACTGTATCAATGGGATTCAACTGTTTATTCATAGTGTGAGAATAAATCAACGTTTCCTTAAATTTTAAGGTTTTATGATAAAAGTTTCTATTTTTGGATTTCTTTAATTTTATTTTTTGTCAAGAAAATTTCCTAGTTTTTTTTTTACCTGGTATATATGAGGTCATATTTAGTTTTGAGTTAGATATGATTCTTCTTACTAATTCTGGTAATGTTCTTTAGGATGATATTATTTTGTTCCTTTCCTATCAACAGAGTCTTTGCCTATAATTTGCATATTCATTGATGAATTGAGATTGATGATCTATACTGGGGTTTCCTTAATTTTCCTTATGGATTCAAGCTTCTTTGCAAATTATTTATTTATTTTATTATTTATTTTTACCTTGACAATAAATACACACCCCCACTTGACCCACCTACTGGACATGAACCCTGGACTATCTACTTTGAGAGGCATCTACTTTGAGAGGCAAGGAAGTACCACTGGGCTACAACCTTGATTCTTTGCAAATTTAAAGGAATTCTATAAATTGAAGAATGTGATCTTCCCTGTCTTTTGTGCTTGCTGAAATATCTCATGATCCGGGGAAAATAATATATATATATTTTTTGTCCGGTAAGTAAAAAGAAAATATATGGCTACTGGATCCATGGCATTGTGCTGCTGTTAATAAGAATATATGGCTGGAATTGTTACTGACACTATCACACTGAACATTAGGCCAAACAATGTCAAGTCAGAGCTAAATCTCGAGTATTAAAGTTTTATGCCTTATGATACCTTGGTTAACCGTTGGAGTTAAAGGATTCTCATTTTCCTATCTAAGATCAGAAATTGGCATGACTTGACGGTCCCCAATAGGACTACAAAGGAACCAAGCTGTTCATGATAAATCTCTTTGAGCTTGACTCGTTAAACGGTTGCTTGTGTTAGTTATTTAGTAAACTCGCTTGGCAAACAGTCTTTGAGTTCGTCTATTATTATTTAGTAGAGCTTGAGTTATGGTAAGGTAGGCTTTTTGGCTTGTAAGCACAATATATATTATTATTATTATTATTATGGGGGATGTGATATTTGCACTCTACAATACAAAATTACAAATACTACCATTGTACTGCACCTAATTTTTTCAGCAAATGACACAATTACCCCTAAAAAGTGAGAGAGAGAGAGAGATTTTTAGGGACAATTGAATGTATTTCTTCTGAAAAAGTTAAGTGGAGATACCCCAATAGAACTTGAACCCTTGGTAGCTTCATACCATTTAATATAAAGTAAGTACTAACATATGATTAATATATAAAAATAATAAAATCTAGTAAGAATTTCATAGGATGTTTCTCAAGCTCATTGGCAAGCCAAGACTGAGCTTGGTTACTCTGAGCTCATCATAGATTCAAGGCGACCCGAAGCTGAGTCCAAAAATGAACAAGTTGAGCTCGATTCAGCTCAGTTATTTTTGTAGTCTGAGTCCCTAGACACAGTTGATACGAAAGAGTGTTGATTTAGGTTGTCTGGATCTGTTAATTATGGTGAAAGCTCTTTTGAGGCTTCAGTAATATGAGAATGCAGTTCTCATTTTCAACATAATTTGTTGTTTATGGGTCCTAAATCTTGGATATGTTTTCTTGTACAATAACAATCAACAACAAATTTTGTGCAAAATTTTCATCCTGTCAAACTCTGCAAATTTTTCATCATATTTAAATTATCTATATCCTTTGAACTAGAAGACTTGATGCAATGATGGATCACAAGACATGGCTTTGGAAGAAAAAGCCTACAGAAAAGGCCTTGGTTACAGCTGACAAAGTAAATATGAAAGTAAACAAAGAAGAGGTAAATGAAGAATGCTTTGATGATTATTATTATTGTTTTTTTCCTTATGTGTTTTTGTTTCTTATGTTGTAAAATTAGTGTACCTGTTTTTACATATTGTGCCATCTGTAATTTTCTAATTTATTGAATTAAACTTTACCACAATTCATCATAATAGTAATAGGTCTAGTTCACATGCATATTCATGTATTTAAGTCCAATTATATTAAATATATATTGTATATGTCTATCTATGTTTTTGCATCATTGTATTGATTGTTATTGTGGTGAGATGCTATCTTTATTTCATTGGAATTCCAATAACTAACATTTTATGAATGAGTTCTATTAAAAATCTAAAGGCTTGCTTGGTTTGTAACTATGAAAACAGTTTTCTGTTCTAGAAAAATTGAAAACAGAAAACTGTACAAAAAACTCTACTTGGTTCAGTTTTTTGAAAACTGTTTTCTGAAAACTCATTTATAAAAATGTCTGATTTCAGAGTTTCTGATAACTGTTTTTAGAGTTACAAACCAAGCAGACCCTTATACTGAATTAAGTTTAGCTACCTTTTATTGAAATGTTCCTCAGGAAGTAACCTTTGGCTTCTACTCCATCTTCTGAATTAGTTAGAATCTCACACAAGTAACGGTTACCCTTTGTATTCTTAAAAATGAAAGTAGCATTTTGATAAGAGTCTTTCAAAATTTTAATACAAGTAACAGGATAATGTGGATAGCTAAGGCTGAAAGAACCGAGTAGAGCTTGAGTCTGTTTGGGTCCCGCTCGTTGGTTTGTGGGTTTTGCTCGGGATCATGATGAGCTCGAAAACTGAGCTTAGGCTTAACTTGTCATTATTTTGAAAAGCTCGGGCTCAGCTTTTTAATAACAAAAGTCGTTTAGGCTCTATTTGAGCTCATGTTCAAGATAGTTTTGGCTTGTTTATGAATTTATACAACCTACACAAGCCTATGTTTATGAACGTGTTCACAAGCCCTATACGAGCCTATGTGTACGAACCTATACGAGCCTACTCGAACTTATGTTCATGAGTCTACACGAGCCAAGCCCAATACTATTTAGGATCTACTTGTTTACTAAATGAACCTATAAATCAAACTCGAGCTGAGTTCGTTTTCTTAACAAACAGGCTCGAGCCGAGCCTTAAAGAAGCCAAGCCCCAGCTATTCATGAACAACTCGGTTCATTTGTAGCCCTAACCTGCTTTGTTGAAACTATGATATAAATCCACATATTATTGGGCGAACAATTGAAATGGGGGTAATTCCTTATCACAAAATCTCAAAAGTAAAAAAAAAAAAAATGGTAGGCATAGAGTTGTGCATGGTTTGGTGCCTAGGTGTGTACGTGGTGCACTGGGTGGTGTGTTGGTTTTGCCTTGATAGGCGTGGATACCTAAGTAAACTAAAATAGTTTTGTGTTGTGCCTTTGTGGGTAATATACTAAGTGGTGACACAAGGAGCAAAGGAACAACTTCCTCACATGTTTGTTGTCCAGATTCTTACCATTGTCCATGACGATCGATCTAGGAACCCCAAACTGGCAAATTATGTTGTTCCATATGGAGTGCCTCACTTATGTGTGTGTTATGCTAGGATAGGGTTATGCTTCTACCTATTTGGTGAAGTAGTTTGTTGAAAGTAGGACATGTTTGTTTTGTGCTCTTGCCTTTGGTAGCAGACCAACCACATCCATTCCTCACTGTGCGAAAAGCCATGGATTGGCCATTACGTGCAGGTTTTCCGGTGGTTAGTGGATTAGTGTCCTGAACCTCTGGCATTTGTCACATCTTCTGGAATATACTTCTGCATCTCGGGACATATGTGGCCAAAAGTAGCCTTGGGATGAGGCTTTGTGCGCTAAGGATCTGCCCCCTGTATGATTACCGCACACTCCTTCATGAATTGTATGCAGGACTTGTCGGGCTTCTGATGGGGTGATGCACTTCAAGTAAGGGCTTGAAAAGGATCTTCGATAAAGCTAGTCGTAAAGGATCGCATACTTCGCTACATTAGTTCGTATTTTCCTCACTTTATCCCTTGGTTCTGGCAGCACACCATCCCTTATGTATGACATGATCGGATCGATCCAGCTAGGCTCATACGGTATTACGCATACTTGCAGATGATCAGGGCTGAAGGACATTTTAAGGATGGACGAGTGGTACAACATGTCTACCTATATCACCCTTGTCAATGTTTCGCCTGAACTGGATGCGTTACAAGCAAGCCTATCAGCCTCACAGTCAGGGATGGAGCCAATATAGGACCGGGGGGGCACGTGCCCCTCCTGGATTTTTTCCTTTCCTTATTATATATATGTATATATTTTCCTATAGTAGGCATATATTTTTTAAAAATGTGTAAAAGTGCCCCCCCTCAAATTTCTCCTTCCCTTGTATACTCTATATGTTTCCTTAAATTTTTTTTCTTAAATTGTTTCATTATATTCTATATATGTAATTTATTAATTTACCTCATTCCAAAAATATCAATCTCTATCTATATTTATCCACCTATTTCTCTTTTTGTATATATACTCCATAAATATTAATTTATATGTATTTAGTGTACAATGTGCCCCCCCTGAACAAAAATTATGGCTCCTTCCCTGCTCACAGTTCTCTTCTTTAGGTATCCGTGTGAATCTGATCTGGTCGAATCCTTTCACCTCTCTTTCGACAGTAGAACGGTAGGCCTCCATTGTGCTATCTTGTTGCTATACTCCCCCATCACTTGCTTCACGATCAGTTGTGAGATGCTGAAAACGTACAGACTCTTAATTCTGAGCTCCTTGGCGAGTCTCAGTCCTGCCAGTAGTGCCTCATACTGTGCCTCGTTGATCGTTGCCTCAAATTAAAGCTTAATTGCCTGGTGCAGGTTTGTGCCCTCGGGAGTCTGCAGTTTAACTCCTACGCCTACCCCTATCTAGTTAGATGAGCCGTCAACATAAAGCTTCCATGGCGGTTCCTCCAAGACCTCTTCTTCATCTTTTGCCTCACATTCCAGCAGGAAATCGGCTACAGCTTGGCCCTTTTAGGCCGTTTAAGGTTCGTATGGAATGTCGAATGAACTCAATTCGATTGCCCATTTGGTGATTCGACCTGACAGGTCGGGCTTGTGCAGGATGACTCTGATTAGATAAGTGGTGGGAACAACAATCAGATGAGACTCGAAATACTGCCGGAGCTTCCTTTTGGCATGCACCAGTACTAGTATAACTCGTTTTGCTTTTGAATATCTTTTCTTGGGATCAACCATTGTTTTGCTTGTGTAAAATACGGGGTATGGCTTCCCTTCTTCCTTTCTAACCAGGGCGGCGCTTGTTACAGAATTTGACACCGCGAGGTAAAGATACAGTCGTTCGTCTTGATTTGGGGTGGAGAGGATTGGTGGACTTTGCATGTATTCCTTTAGTCTAAACAACGCTTGTTGCTGTTCACTGCCCCAGGTTTGTCATCTATTACTTCTTATTGTGTCGAAGAACGGCTTGCAGTGATCTGACAGCCTCGAGATGAATCTACTAAGTGTGGCTATTCTTCCCATGAGAGTCTGGACTTCTTTGAGAGTTCTTGGCTCTTCACTTTGCACTAACGCTTCGGCTTGGGTTGAACTTACCTCGTTCCCCTGGCTATTGACAATGTGCCCCAAGAATTGTCCGGAGCCAACACCAAACGAACATTTAGAGGGGTTGAGCCCCATGCCGTGCTCTCGCAATGTGTCGAACACTTCTTGCAGGTGTATGAGGTGGACTCCTTTTCTCTTACTTTTTACCACCATGTCATCGATGTATGCCTCCATGGTTTTGCTCATTTGGTCTTTAAAACTTTGTTGACCAGCCTCTGGTACGTGGCTCTTGCATTCTTCAGTCCGAACGGCATCACTTTGTAGTAATAAATCCTTCGTCCTGTCAGGAAATATGTCTTCTCCTCGTTGTCCGGATGCATGGGGATTTGATTATAACCTGAATACTCATCTAGGAAGGCCAGGCGTTCATACCCAGTGATCATTGATTTTTCAAGTTTGGGATAAAAACTTGAGAGTAACATTGCACTAATTATTTTTATTAGTGGAATTATTGTCGATTTGGCCCATGGTTTTTTCCCGCTACACTGGAGGGTTTTCCACGTAAATTTTTTGATGTCTTGTGGTTTTTGTTGCATATTTTATTTTATACATTGGTTATTTTTTCTTAGCCAAATTTTTTGGGACCAACAAGTGGTGGTATTAGAGCGAGGTTGGATGATGATATATTTTTCAGGCAGGGATGGAGGAAACTTATAACATTGCTATGATTAAATTGACGGCTTCAAACTATGGGATTTGAAAACCTAGAATGATGGATATCCTTTACTATGAAGGATTTATATGACCTTATTGAGGGTGAATATGCCAAGCCCGCTGATAAAAGTGCCAAAGACTTGGAGATGTTGAATAGGAAAACTGTGGGATTGGTCAGACAGTGGATTGACCACAGTGGGTTTAACTATGTTGCTTAGGACACTAATGCTCACAGTCTTTTGGCTTTGTTGCATCGTTTATTCTATACTTTGAAGGTTATCTTTCTTATCCAAAATATTTGGGAACAACAAAGTTACCGTCTAAAAAGCAAGTCCAAAGGCTTAGGAGTGTTTGAAGCTATGTTTACAATTATAGCATACCGAGTAATTTACCACTAAAACTGTTCAAATTGAACAACTTGCCTGGCAAATTTGATTTGGTCAGCAAGTCTTCTATTCAAAGACCCTATAAAATATTCTTTATCACCTGTTTACAAAATCAAGGTCCTTGTATAGTTGAATCAAAGGAAATGACGATCAAAAGTTGATGTTATGGCATCAAAAAGCTACTTCTGAACATTAGATAGACTTGTCCAATAAGTGAGCGAAGAAATTATGAACCTATGTTTTATCACCAAGATATATCTGCATTAATGAGTATGCCCATTTGGGCTGATTAATGATGACTGGCTAAAGTTGGTTATGAACTTAATCCAAGAATCAGTTTATATACTTTAGGTATTGGCTAATATATTGCTTCTTTAGATACAGAGAGATCTGACAGAAAAAGCAGAACTGGAGAGAGAGCTGAAAATTTCAAATGACAAGCTTTCTCTAGCCCTCTCTGACTGTAAAGCCAAAGATGATCTTGTAAGAAAACATGCTCAAATGGCACAGGAAGCTCTTGCAGGTGATTAACTATGACCTTACAGTGCATTACATACTCCCATTCTCGCACCCTTTTTCACATGGTTTGGTGTTCCAATTTTACCGTCATCACATGTTGCCTGTCAAAATTCTATCTACTAGTTTGACAAGTTTACTGTTAATGAGAGATGAAAAAAAAGGTTGTAAGTGTCCATTTTAACAATGAAATTGTACAGGCTGGGAGAGAGCAGAAGGAGAAGCAATATCATTGAAGCAAGAATTTGATGAAGTTTTACATCAGAGAGTAGCTGGTGAAGCAAGATTAACCCATATGGATGCAGCCCTGAGTGAATGTATGCAGCAGTTACGTTTTGTTCGAGAAGAACAGGAGCAAAGGATTCATGATGCTGTGATGAAGACATCAAAAGAATTTGAAAAAAGGAGTCTTGTTTTAGAGCAAAAGTTAGCGGAGACCACTAACCAACTTGCCAAATTAGGTGCTCAAAATAGTCAGCTCAGCAATGCTCTTACAGCAAAGGAAAAAATGATCGACAATTTAAATGTTCAGAGAACTCAGGCAGAAGCAGATTTTAATGCCCTGATGACTAGATCAGAATCTACAGAAAAAGAGAATGCTTCTCTTAAATATGAGGTTAGGGTGCTTGAGAAGGAACTTGAGATTCGGAATGAGGAGAGAGAATTTAATCGTCGAACAGCTGATGTAGCACACAAGCAGCACTTGGAAAGTGTGAAGAAAATTGCAAAATTGGAATCGGAATGTCAGAGGTTGCGTGTCCTTGTGCGAAAGCGGTTGCCAGGTCCGGCTGCTCTGTTAAAAATGAAGAATGAAGTTGAACTGCTGAGCAGAGATCCAGCTGAAACGAGGAGGAGAAAGTCTCCTTCTCCAACTGCTTCAATGGACTTTTCTGACAATGACCCTGATACTCTCAGCAAAAGAATCAATTTTTTGACCGGGCAAATATTTGCCATGGAAGAGGAAAACAGAAATCTCAAAGAAACCCTAAATAAGAAAACGAATGAGCTCCAATTGTCTGGGATCATGTATGCTCGTGCGACTTCCAGATTGTCGCAAGTTGAGGCGCAGCTTGAAGAAACATCTAAAGGTCCAACAATTACGGAAGCAGCAAGAAGTCTACCAACACAACAAGAAATCTCTTTTGCATCAATGTCTGACATGGGCAGCGATGACAAAGTTAGTTGTGCTGAATCATGGGCTTCTGCTTTGATTTCAGAATTGGAGCATTTCAGAAATGGAAAACAAACAGGGACACCATCGCGCAAGACTGCTGGAGTTTCAGACATAAATCTGATGGATGACTTTGTTGAGATGGAAAAATTAGCAACAGTATCTGTGGATAAGCCAGTTGGAAGTTCTCATCTTACTTCAGATGAAGGTAGTGAGATTGTTGGTACCTTGGAAACTCAGTCAGGTGGGGGTTGCTCTACAAAACCTCCAGATAACTCTCTATCGATGAATTCATTTGACAAAGTAATCAGTGAAGATATCTCACCAGAAAAGAAGACAAATTTGACTAATTCAATATGTAAAATAATTGAGCTTATTGAAGGGATCAGCTTACCATCTCCAGACTATGGTTCCCTAGAAACCTTGTCTGGGAAGGATGGTAACTTTTTCCCTTGCAAGAATTTAGAAGCACCTACAGGCTACACGGTTCGTGTTTTCCAATGGAAAACTTCGGAACTTGGCACCGTTTTACAGCAATTTGTTCAAACTTGTAAGGATTTGTCAACTGGAAAGACACAGGTGGAAAATTTTGCTGAAAATTTAACTTCTGCTTTGGACTGGATTATGAATCACTGCTTTTCCATTCAAGATGTTTCAAGCATGAAGGATGAAATCAAAAAGCACTTTGATTGGGATGAAACACGTAGTGAGAGTGAGATAGAAGGTGGAATGATTAGTCAATTTTCAGATGCAGATAAATTACGTTTTCCCAAAGAAGAGTTGTCGTATCTGCCCATTGTTTCTGCTTCGCACCATAACTGTCTGTTCCAATTGGAAGAACTTCAGCCTGATGTGATGGAAGATAGCAAAAGATTAAAAGATCAGTTGGCCAATATGGAATCTGCAAAGGAGGACCTGGAAGGGAGACTGCAGTCAGAGATTGATAAGAGCGAAGCATTGGCAATGCAACTCCGAGAATTAGAAAAAACTATTGAAAGCTTGCGAACCGAGTTAGAAACTTTAGAGAAATCAAAGGTGACAATTGAGGATCAAATTGAGTGTCATAAGCTGGTGAACAAAGACCTTGATACACAGCTTGCTGTTGCAAGAGCTGAATTGGACGAGGCCAGCCAGAAATTTTTGTCTCTAGAAACAGAACTGCTGAATGAAAATAAATGTTCTGAAGAATTGAAGGCTACATGTCTTGACCTACAACTCCAGCTGGAAAGGTACGTAAAGTTTTTCTGCTTTCATGCTTGTGGAAAAAGCACCTTACATTTGCATTGTTCAGAGGTATCAGTAGTCTGACACGTTTCATTTTCAGTGTGACAAAGAAAGAAATCTCAAAGAATGATATGGATCGAGAAGAAAAGCAATTAAGAACTGTAAGTTCCTATCCTTAATTTTTAATCATATGCATAGAATGAGTACTAGTATAGTATAATATTCTGGTATATTGATAATAAATGTAGCATTGTCCACACTTGCTCGAGATCCTTTATTAGTTATTGTATAATTTTGCACTTACCGCAAATGACACAGGATATGTTTAAAATAGCTTTCATTTTTCTCAGGTATAGATAAAGCTTTGCTTGTGAAAATGTTAGAAATCCAATAGTAAGAAACAAACAGATTGCCTATAAAGGCCTTAAAGAAAAGCAAGAAAAAAGAAAAGAAAAAAACTTGAGAATAGAATTTCTTTCTGTAGCAAATGTTATTGAGAGAGAAACATAGTTCTATTTCATTTTTTTTGTTGATGAACGCTTCTATTCTTGTCAATGGTGCAAGAATAGGTGAAAATGAAGAACTCTTCATTTTGTAAAGAAAGATGAAAGTAAAGAAGTCATATATTTGGACTCTTTATATATATATATATATATATATATATATATATATAATTTAGGTAAGTGACTGGGTGAAAATTGTACAGCATATTCTAACCATTATTGGCATGTAAATTCTAAATTTTCACATCAGTTAAGTGTAAGTGCTGTCAAAAAAAATTTACGCTTACCACTTGAACTGGGAACTGTTCACCAACCTTGTAGGATTGGGAGATCACTGCAGCATCAGAAAAGTTGGCGGAATGTCAAGAAAATATTCTAAAACTGGGAAAGCAGTTGAAGGCGTTGGCTTCACCGAATGATGCTGCCTTCCTTGACAAGGTCATCTCTAGCCCCACTGAGACTACCACCACCGCGGCCACCCCCAAGAAGGGCATCAGCCGGCGGAACTCTCTACTAGATAAAATGCTGGCCGAGGATAATGCTGAATCCGGATACCTAAAATCTCCCATGACCAAGGAAGTTATTTGCATTTCAGACCCCGTAAAATCCCCCAGTCTCCAAGATGGGAATTCGTTTTCCACCTTCCTACCCAGTGCAACAACGGATCCTCCAGAAACAATTCCTAATTCGAACGGGATTAAAGGCCATGGCAATGAAGATTTGTTTGGTTCTTTGGCTATTGTGTCTCGCAAGAAAAAGGGAGGTAGGGGATTTTTGAAGAAGCTTTTGTGTAGAAAGGAAGAAAGGTAAATAGCAAGAGAAGGATCGGCCCATGTAAAAGGAATTCAGTAAAGTGAAAATAAGCTTGGCATGCAGGATTTTGTTGTGGTGACTGTGATTGTTCGAGTTGTGACACACTTTGGAGTGGGAAATAATATGATTTGGTTTGATCTTTCATAGAGGAGAGAATTGTGTTGTTTTGTGTGTGCTGCTACTGTATATATAATTGTGATAAAAACCGTTGAGAATTTAATTTAGTTTTGAATGGAAAGGCCATTTTCACGTTTATATGGATGGAGTTCCACCAATTTTTTTTATATATATATATATATATATAAAAATATAAAAAAATAAAAAAAAAAAAAAAAAAACCTTTTAGACTTGAACCTTCAACCTATGCTTAAAGGTCAGAGAGAAAAAAGAAAAAGAAAAGAAAAGGGTTTGATGTAGTTGTCTACTGATTTTATTTATTTTTAACTTATGCAAAAAATTCCTAATAAATTTTTGTTTTTAGTTATTTTATTTTTACGAGAAATGATTAGACAAAAATCTAAATAAAACTGCATGGAAACGCATTTTGTGGTATAATTTGTGTTTTTTCTCTAATGATCGACTTGGGCTGTTGGGCTTGATCTGTGGACCAATAGCTGCCTCGGCCAGCCTCAAACAAAGAACTTTTTGTTGTTAAAGGGTTTGTCTGGGTTGTGGTTGAATCCAGGTCATATGAGATTGTTTGGAGGTTTTTCTCATTTCTTTTCTTTTATTTTCCCACTTTTTAAATTATATTTATTATTAATTTCTTTAAAATGCACAGTTCCATTTTGTTTCATTCGGGGTTTATTTAGGTTATGAACATAAATCAAAAGTGCATAAAATGAAAAATTTCTAGGACTTTTTTTATCGATTAATTTTTATTTTTGATTTTTTTCAAATAAGACAATGTTGTTCGCTGAAACCTCAACTTATATGCCTTATTGCGAACCAAGGAATTGTGCATCAATGAGTATTTGAGAGGAAAAAAATATATTAATGGATAGGATCCTAATCTAAGTTTTTACAACATTTTTTTAAGAATTAAAATTTCATTAATAAAAGAATAATTTTCTTTCATTTATTCATTTTCTAACACTAATTTCACAGAACAAAAAATTAATGTTTCTTTTATTTTCTTGTTACTGTATATATAAGAACTTAAAATAGAGGAGAGATAATTGTGTTGTTTTGTGTGTTCTTATAGATGTTTTGCATTTGAATCATTCGTGCACAAAGATTATTGTACTCGTTTTTTTCTCTGGAATGAAGAAATTCGATTCATAGAGTTAAGTAACTGGAGGACAATTATGGTATTGAAAATGTAAGAATCAAGTTTAGTAGGATGGAAGGATGTTTTTGTAATTATATTTTTAAAAAATAGAAGAGTGGAGCGATAGAGGATACGAGTAGAGCACCAATATTAGCTGTCATAGTTAATCATATATTTAAATATATAAAAATTCAAAATTAAGTTTAAATTGATGTGTTCGTTTATTATTGATTTACGTCAACGTTGAGTATGTTATTAATCCTCACTAGTGGACATAAATATTGCCTATTAATTCACTAGTGGACATAAATATTGTCTATTAATTAATTCAGCATAAAAATCACAGCACTCATAATTAACTCACATACTTTGTTTTACCATCATATCCAAAATTGTAAATTTATGAGTTAAATAGCCAATTTATTATCTTTTACTGCAAGAAAGTTGAGTGGTGGTGCTCGAGTGTACGTCTACCTTATATCCAAGCCGTTGGATTCCCTTGATTACCCCTATACAAACATCACCTAAAACTTCCAAAATAAGCCCCACAAACAAGCACGAATAAAGATTTGACACGTCACACCTACCCCATAGGGAACAGACAAATTTCCAAGTTTCACCACCCCCAAATCAAATCAAAATGGCAATCAAATCACTGTTTGACCACTCAAACAATCGTGGACCGTCTGATCTGTCTAAAAAGTGGTCCACGAAGTTCACATCTCGAGGCACTTATCTTTTCAATCCTGTCACGTCCATTATCCAAAAAGCTGGAAACTTTAAGGGGCTGTTTGCTTGCCGTGTGTGTTCGAGTTTTTTTTTAGCTGGATGTGTGTGTGACGTCTGATGGGATGGAGACGTTGATACTCTGGTGGTCCCGTCCACATCTTAGAAAAAGATTGGATTCGATATCTTTTAGGCCAATGGGATAGTGACAAGTAATGGTGCGACGTAGTTTTCATGATGAGAAAGATATTGATAAATATTTGCAACATAATTTGTGTCTAAAAAAAGGTGACGTTTGGGTCGGAATCGGATGAGACCAGTGAAAGGTTTGGATAGCGAAATGTCTGATTCTTTGACCAAAGGTAAATATTCTCTACATCCACGCCCATGTAAATACAAATTGCGACCTAAGACAATCTAATTAATACAAGTATCATTAATTAACTCTATAATTTTATTTTATTATTATTATTTTTTTAAAAGTGAAATTCATTTTTCTTACTTTACATTATTCCAAAAAAAAAAGAAAAAGAAAATTTAAACTATGATAAAACATTATAATGCCATAGTGTAATAGTATGACATAGGAATGACAACTACGACAGTTTTGGACGAATGTATCCTCTCTCATTTCTGTAATTGTTTAAGAACTCTCGTTTTATTTTCACTCAAAATTGCCTAAACAGGGAGCCTTTCCACCCTATTCCTGCCTCATTTAATTTTTTTTAACCCACCCTATTCCTGCCTCATTTAATTTTTTTTAACTTTGCGGGCATCCGCCCTGTTCAATTTCCTAATTTCTCCTCCATTTTAATTTATTTTTCTCAAATAAAATTATATAATTATTGAAAAAAATTATTAAAAAAAAAGGACAATCAATAATTTAATATAAATTCAAGGGTATAAGCGTTCTTAGTTCATAAAGCTATGTTGTTCTTTAGAACAACTGCGAAAGTGAGTGAATGTGACTTAGGGTTTCTAGAGTTAACTATATATACTGATAAAATAAAGGTAATTTAGTAATTTATCTACCTATACAAGGCGGGGTGGGGTGACCTCCCCCACCCACACTCCAAACTAGTGCGAGTTTTCATTAATAAAAATCATATCAGTCCCTCAAAATCGCTATAAATAGGACAAGGGGGGTGGGTAAAACCATTCCCCACTGGGCAAATTGCCATTCCTACCGTAATGCTTATTTGTTAACCCAAAAATTAAAATTATTAAATAATGTTACATATTCACTTGTAAACAGTACATGATCCAATTAGTCAAGAATGGCACGTAACAAAGATTGAATCCGAGACTCAAAAATTCATATAATAAAAATACATTTTGCCTAAATTGACCTAACTTGAAGTGGACATTTTAAAAAGGTCAAGACTCAAATACTGAGTTATAATTAAGCTCATTTGTTAATATAATTAATCAATAAAATAATAAAAGATAAATAAGGTTCATTTTCATCATTTATTTGACTCTGGATAACATGGAAGACCTAAGTCACATAGAGCGAGAAAAGGAACAAGAATGAATTTGAGAGCGAGAATGCGAAAACAGTAAAATTCAAGTTACACAAAATAAGAATTGAAGCATAGGCGCGTGTGCTCCTTGAAAGTGTTAGAAAGGTAAAACTAATAATTGTTGAAAATAATTATGTGACTTATTAACGTCTAAGGTCCAATGGATGATTTACGGGTTCCAGGCCCAGCACCAAATTTATTATTGACATTCTTACCATTTATTGTTATCTCTTTTTCTACACTACCACTATCACAGGCTCACAACCCACGAAACACTAGTGTTTCCATCACCGTTCTGGTACTATCATTTATGTAACTGCCACAGCATATGCATATAAATTTATCAATTATTGTTATCACAACTGCAATAAATATATTCTACAATTAGTAGGATATGTGTATTTGTAATATAGACCATGTATTTAAACAGGGCGGAGCCAATCAAGACCTAGAGAGGGCACGTGCCCCTCTCACTTTGCTCCAACCTACTATATATAGGTACATATTTTTGGCATATATATGTACTTACATGGTAATTTTAAATAATGCCCCCCTCAAATTTTTCAATTCTTTTAATTTCCTTTTAGAAAGAAAAAAAAATTACATATATTCTTTCTTCAAATAAACAATATATTTTTCCTTTTTTAATTTTTGTTTCCTTTTTCAAAAAAATTCTTTTTTCGCTTATGTATAATTATGTATTTTTCTATTTTTTTAAACTTATTTCTTTTTATCGATGACATTTGTGATTGTATTTATTTAAAATATTATTAATTAATTTTTTGATTCTTATATTTGTAACTATATTTTTTTTACGGTATTTATTTAGCATATTAATTTACAACTATTTTTTTCTTATTTGTCTTTTTGATTTAAAAAAAATTATATTGTCATATTTATTATTAAAAAAAAAATTTAACAAGTGCATTGTGCCCCATCTGAACTAAAATCCTGGCTCCGCCCCTGTATTTAAGGTAATTTGAGCCTTTTAATTGTAAAAAAAAAAAAAAAAAAAAAAAAAAAAATTACACTTCATTTTTGCACTCTAGATGCTTTTATAACCAATTATTCTTCAAAAATAATTTGACATTTAATTTTATAATTTTCAAAAATGTACTCTTGCACGTAAAAGAAAAAAGTATGAGAGACAAATCATGTGTGAAGCCAAACAACTTTTATATGATGATAATATGTTATAATGTATGTTTGGCTGATTGTAATGATTGTTCAATCCACTACTTGAGATTCTTCCTTCGTTACAAGTCGAAAATATTTTTTGATTTTTATTGTCGTTGTTTGTTTTTTACTTTAATTTATTGTTGTTGTTTGTGTGTCTGTATATGATGTCAAGTATATATATTTCCTTAATTAAAAAATAAATAATTAATAAAGATAAAATTTTGTGCGTTCTTTTTACAAATTGGTACCAAAAATTTGTAATACATTACCAACATGTTTGGATCAATTCTATTAAAAACAGATTTAAGAAGTCTGAAAGTATAAACAAATTTCAACTATTTGAAATTAGGCACTTATAACTTCTCTTGTGAGGCGAATTTTAGAATCTTCAGTTCTGTAACAATATTTGAGGAAAAATGATAATTTGCTGGTATATGCATAGCATTGTTCAAGTTTGAAACTCCTTCCATCAAATACCACATTATAATAACTTACTATTTATTATAGTATTATCGGATAAATCATAATGACAATGTGTAATAAGGGTCATTTGTCTCGCATTAGATTGAGATGGAAAAGTGACTAGATATAAATATGTAGGTATGCAGCATTACCCAATAACAGCTTGACCTTTTGAATAAATAGATAAAGGTTCATCCGTTACACACTCCCCTTCTCATTTGTTGAAATATATGAAATTTAACAAAACATACAATAATTTTTTAATTGTATCTATACCAAATTATCCCCTTTTTTTTCATCAAGAAAATGTGAAGGATTTAATGATTTAAGAAAAATATTTTATTTTATTTTAAATTAGACCCTTCTAATCGTATCGAACGGATAAATTTGTTTTAAGGATTCGATACCGTTTCACATTGAAGAATCGGCCATATCACCTATATATTTTATTTTATTTTAAATTAGACTCTTCTAATCCGACGAATAAATTTGTTTTAAGGATTCGATACCGTTTCACATTGAAGAATCGGCCATATCACCTATACCGCGATTGCAAACTATGCTCCTAGAAAAAGAATTTTAGAACCTTCCTTCACTAAATATAGAAAAGAATTAAGTGCATTAAATCCCTCTCAACTATCTTTTCTTTCTCAAAAAACCTCTCTCAACTATTGAAACAACACTTGACCCCCTAAACTATTTCATTACTTGCAAAACATTAATTGGCCATCCCAAATCTAACGGCGTGACTAGGCAAAAATTTAAAAAGACAATAATAACCCTACCTCCTTCTTACCCCTTCTCTCTCTAGATTCCTCCAAACCACCCCGACGCCTCCTCTCTCCTTCCCTTCGCCAGAACCTCCGTCGCCCATAGCTTCGGTATACAACTGCCCGATTGTGCAATCTATCTCCTTCACTGACCACATCACCACCAACTATAATCAACATCATCCTTTACGGTCTTTACCTTAGTCATCTTCCTTAACGAAAACCCAGTACAAGCAAGAAATCGAAAAGCCCATCACGCCGTCCTTAGCGGTGGCTGAGTCGCCGCCGTTTCAGTCCTCTGTCATCACCAAGCACACCTCCGTTCCATGCCCACCAGTAAGTCCTACATGCCTACGGTTTGTCCTCGCCAGCAAGCGCTGTTTAGACAGTGCTCGCCATCCTCTTCACTGCCGATCAAACCCACTTCTCGCCGGCTCACTCTTGAGCCGCATCCTCACTGGTTCAGCTTGCCGCTTCCTCGCCGTTTCACACATTGCTCGACGAAACTGCGGCTTCTTGTTGCGCCATTCATCACTGCTTCGTGCTTGCCGGAATTGCGACCTCTTACAATCGTCACAGATCGTGCATCACCAGCCCTCGTCATAATCTTTGCTCACCGCTGACTAGAATCCTTGCCAGAAGACTCCTTCCATTAAGCCCAAAGACCCATCAATGTATGGAGTTGTGACCACTCCCTGTTGTTAACTCTTCCATCGTAGATCTGCCATCCTCCCAGTGTTCATGGCTTCTCTACTTCGATCAACTTATAGTCGTCTGATACTTGTAACAGTAGATCGAAAAGGATACTGGCAAATTGAGAAATCAACAAAACTCCGGCCACTAATGTTACCGAGAACTAAGCTTGCGATTTCCCTTTGCGTTGTTCATCCGTGCTTCGCTTGGATGGGTTAGGGGACTCTGGGCTTTTGCCCATTCAGCTTTCTCTATTTATTTGGGTTTTTATTGTAAGATCATACAGTGGAACATGATTTCTATTGCTGCATCCCTATTACTGGGTCCAATTGATATGAACAATGAGCTATGATATATCATGAGTAGAATTGGGATTCATTAATTTACCTCAAACTAATTCAGAGTTATGTGATTCAATTTATGAAGGCCATAACACATAAGAAAGTGATTACCCAAACGATGAGAAGAGAGAGAAAGAGAGTGGAGTAAGGGATGATCGCAATCTGTCAAGAGCTTGCAGAGGAGAGAACAATATTTTTTTATGGGCAAATCAGTAATTTCATTTTTTAGTTAACGGTTGTTGGGCATTGTGGGGGTTAACTGCAACACTTTTATAACTCAGGGGGTATTTTTTAATTCAGAGGGGTTTTTTGCAATTGGCTCATAGCTGAGGGGGGTTTACTGCACTTAATCCTATAGGAAATTATTATAGGAAATTAAACCAAGGTTTAAATGCTAATGTCATTTTGTCAAATTCCCAATGATTTAGAAAAAGCTCAGTTTTAAAGTTTGATTTAATTAATAAATACCGCCCACAATTTCACACTCTTCTGCTTATTTAGAGAGAAAAAGAGCGCTCAGAGCATAGAAAGAGAGAGAGAGAGAGAGTTGTAATGGTTTTTGCAGAGAAACAAAGCAGAACCTTTGAATAGATTCCTTCATTTTCTCTCTCTACAATGCTTTCTCTCTCCAACTCTCCTCATCTCTGATACATAAATGGCAGACATGTATGACACCACCTGCTCTTCATCTTCCTCCCCTGAACTCGAAGACATCTCCCTCTTCCTCCACCAAATCCTCCTCCGATCATCTTCTCCGTCGTTGTCCTCTTCCTCCTCTGCTCTCATGGCACACAACGGCAAACAACTCCACTACTTCTCACAGTCTCATCTTTTCCCCCAAAATCAAAACTCGGACCGACTCGTCACTGACCCGATCTCAACGCCCGAGTCGTCGTCCGGGTTGAACTCTTCCTCCGCCGCCGTCTTCTCCTCTTCCGGCGATCATTTCACAGCGAGTACTGCCAATGTGTATTCCTCCTCCGGTGGAATCGTCGACACTGACCCAGACGAGTATGATTGCGAAAGCGAGGTAATTATATACTAACGTGTATATATATATATATATATATATATATATATATATATATGTATATATTCCAAATTGTTCTCTGATTTCTCATTCATGCGCCGAGAAAATTTCAGAGTATGTAGTAATGATGTTTGGTTTGTTAGGAGGGTTTTGAGGGTTTGGCAGCAGAGGTGCAAGCAAAGCCGTCCTCGACTCGCAATCCGTCAAAGAGAAGCAGAGCTGCTGAAGTTCATAATTTGTCTGAAAAGGTAGGGTTTGTATGTTGAAAGGCTATGTTCTGAATTTGTTATTGATAAATTAGTGTCAATTGTTTGATTTTGGGTTTTGTTGTGATGTGGGTTGTTTTGGGCAGAGGAGGAGGAGTAGGATTAATGAGAAAATGAAAGCATTGCAAAATTTAATACCGAATTCGAACAAGGTAAATTGTGATTATTGGTGTTTTTTTTTTTATTTTTAAATGTCAGATCCTTTTGATGATGAAGTTGGTCGGGTTATTGAGTGAATTGTATAATGTTTGGTTCTTGATAGACCGATAAGGCCTCGATGCTGGATGAAGCCATTGATTACCTTAAGCAGCTTCAGCTCCAAGTACAGGTATATTGTTTACCTGTAAAATTCCAGTGCATGGTTTGTTACACTAAGCTATTGCTAGTTTTTACTTGTCGAAATGTAGAGAAAAGTATGCATTTTAGTTTAGAGGATTTTTAGAAATCTGTATTTGAGATAGGCTTGCCAAGGTTGAAGATCTCTGCTGTTTGCACTCTTACAATTTTATCAAGGAATGCTAAATCTGTCCATCATTCCTTTGCTTTCACGGGATTTAAGAGAATAGGATCATATAGATCTCGGTTGGTTCTCAAATGAAAGGTTGTTCTTACAATTCATATGAGAACTTGCACTCTTGGGTTTTGGTGCCAGAATGTGGTTGTAGATTCATACATTTAAATGAAGAAGTTTCTGAGGTTGAAGATCCAGATTATCTAAAATAATGTTCTACTGGAACTGTTTCAGCATACCAGATGCTGCAAATAACGGCCAATGGCATACCTGAATAAGAATGGAGATTGAGTAATTGGTTGCAAGATTGCTAGGTTAAATATTCGAAGGTCATGAAATTTCTGAAATAATAAACAATTGGAGCCATTTCCATATAATTGCCTGCAAGTAATAGCATAACATATAAACAATGTGCAATGAGAAGCTGCTGGAAAGAATCAAGCCAAGGGAGGATGTTTTTCACCAAGGCTTTAAATTTTTTGAAGTTACCATGATGGGATGGTTGATAATTGAGAACTTGTTAAAGAAACATGATATTTCCCTTTCTTGCTTGGACCTTTAAGCATTGATATTAAGGTTTGCGCTAGCAATTACTAATAACAAAAATTTTGTTACCCAAGGTTCATAGTGTAGGTTTCAGGTTTGTCGGGCAGTTTCCTTCTGTTTATCTTACTCCTTCTACTTGACTTTCTTTCATACCAAATACAATGATTTTTAAACTTTTAGCAAATTAAACAGAGGGTGTCTGCCAAATGAATCTAATTTGGCCAATGTAATTTGATAAACGTACACAGTTTTACGAGTTTATAAGTATCTGGAATAATATTATTGAACTGTCTTTGTGTGAAATTTAGTTGGGAATATACTTGAATTGATTTTTAACTCCATAATTTTACCATACGATTGCTTGGAGTTACCTCAAAGCTGAATTTACAGGATGAAGAATTGAACTAGGGTTGAGAATTGTAGAATGATGGGGTTTTGTGGAGTTCCTTTTGTATTTTGATTGAATCCGCGGGAAAATGTAATGGAAAAAGTGTGTTGTGGCGGTCAATTTCTGGCAGATTTATGGTCCTGGTGGCAGTGAAAAATGAAATAGAGTGGCTAAAGGGTTTTTTACCTCAATCAACCAATGGTCTAATATGCAGTGGTTGTAGAAAAAGTTCCTCAGCAACATTGCTGTATGAACTGCGAGAAGTGAGTATTTCCATCTCTGCTGGCCATACCACTTGCTTTATGTAGTGTTTAGATCCCTGAAGTGGCAGTTCTGGATCTCTGTTTGTATGTTAAATGAGAAACAGTTGCCCTTTGTAAAGAGGAGTGAAGATGCTAATTATTAATGATGAAATATATAATCTATATAAGCTGTGAAGAGGAAGTGCAGAGATGTCTGATATGGTAGATATGGGATTGTTTCATGTGAGAATGCAATCCTTACTAGATGATTTCTAATTCTAGGTGTCCTTATTTGTTTATTTATTTATTTTTGGTCCAGTTGGACTGATTTTAGATTCTTGCATCTCCTTCTTGGGCTAATTGTTCTTGCAAGTGTGCTCTTCCACATATTGTATTGGAAGCCATTTTTTTTTTTGTACTAGCCTGCCTTGGGAGCTTCCCTGCTGACGCTAGTATTTTGTTTTAATTTTGCATTTGTCTTTCCTCTTGGAGATTATTGAAGCGTTCTTACTGTTTTTATTCTTTTATTTACTATCATTATTTTGTTTTATCATTATCCATGTTCATTTATAAACTGAATCACGTTTCAGATGTTAACAATGAGAAACGGATTAAGTTTGTCCCCGATGTGCCTACCTGGAGTGCTTCAGCCAACTCAACTCTCCCAGACGAGAATGGGCTTTTATGAGGGAAATGGGTCCCAAAATATGAACTTGACAGGTGCACTTGCAATGAACCAAGAAACCCCAACGAATACTGCGTTCAGTCTACCCAACCAATGCTCTAATCCAAACCAGCCATCGGTAGCCAATTTGTCAAATATTATCAATTCAGATACATTATTTGGATTGCAGTCGTCAATTCCGAGTCACTTTAGACCATTTCAGCCTCACACATCATCTGAAGTAAGTTCAATATAACCCCTATTCATACTGCAATTTAGAGTAAGGGAATGATACTAGCTATTTTATGTTTCTGCAATGTGAAGGAAAATTGCAGGGAGGACTTGTTGCATCATCAGCAGCTAAATGTGAATCATCCTGACACAAATCCCTTAGGTAAGTTGGCTGAGCTTGCATCTATTTTTCCCCCATAAACACTGCTAAACATTGTGCTTAGTGTTGGACCATGAGGCTGCTTTTGTTGCATTTTTCACATGCCATTTAGTGTTTATTGTCGAGAAAAAGAATATATAAAATTAAAAGAATGCATTCTTTTTTAATCCTATTCTGATCTGCATTTACGTGCTGAAAGAATTTAAAATGGGAGTCAAAGCTACAATGTCAATTCCCTTCGACTCACAAACATCTGATTTAAAGGACAACACCCAGGAATCATGCATCCTAGGGAGAGATCGGGCTGAAGCCGTTCTTCTAAACAATCTGGAGTGTAACCAGTTGAGTGGGTTAAGTATACTTTAATCAGATATGTGTAATTTTGTTCTTTCAGCCACTATATGTGTGCCCTAATTTCTCTTGCCATTGGGTTTTTTATAGCTTGGACGCAGGAAGACGTGCATCCAACGATGACATCAAGAATGAAAGATCGAACTGTTGAAATTCGACGTCCAAAGAGAATTTCTGAAATTTGATGACCTCTAATCACACTGATAATATTTTGAACTTACTCGGGCCAGAGAACACTTGGGCATTGCTGTGTAATTTTAGGTTGAAGGAAATGGAAATATTCATGTAAGCTCTTTTTTGTGTGTGGTCATTGTCATATATATATATATATGGCCAGCATTTCATTCACAGAATATTTATTTGCCATCTTCGCTTGTTTTTATCCAAATCATGTAAATTCTGATGGTACTAGGTCTTGTATTCTCTTCTCTTACCATAGTTCGTTCATGTGATGGATGTGTTTGGATTAATCAATCTCTGTTGTACGAGTAGCTGTGCTGTAAATTTTTCAACGCACTTAAACCTATGTTCGACATATTTGTTCTACATTTCAGCAGGTTTATTCTAAATTTTAACATACGTTCTGTGTGTGGAAATCTATCTTAAATATATTGAAACATGTTTTAAGTGAATTTCAACATGTTTTAAGTGAATTGAAATCTCTTTTTCTAGATGTTTTAAGTGAATTGAAATCTTTTTTTCTACGTCATTATTTCTAGTTTCAACGCATTTAAATCGTGATTTATACTTTTATTTTATTTGTTGAAATTGTGTTGCAATGTAGAATAAATGTGTTGAAACATAATTTAAATGCGTTAAAAAATGATATAGCCCGTGGTGGTAGAGAATCTGGACTCGATGGATTTGGTTGACTTGAGATCCGATCCAATTAATTATATATAATCTCTTTTTGTGTTCATATTTTAAAGAGAAATGCTTTTTTTGACGACGGATATATACTTGGCAAAAAACTGACTTTCACGTGGCAATAACTTATTTGCGCACAACACTTCCCTCAATCTCTTGCTCTGCTCACAGTCTCTCTCACTCTGCAAAACTTTCCCATCTCTTTGAGAATGAACGACAACCCAAAGGATGAAACACAGTTCCGACGCCCCACCACCACCACAATTTTCACTTCTTGTCTAGTGAAGCCCCGCCACCACGACAATTTTCACTTCTTGTCACCACAACCAGTGACTAAAACACCACCATTACTGGCAGTCACTGCATTACCACCACCACCGACGGGGGCTGCCACCCCACCACCACCACCACCCTAACCCCCACAACCACCACTACCACCAGCATGGTGGTAGAATGATGAAGTGATGACCATGGAAGATTTAACGAGGCCGGCGGCGAGCAAGGTTGTGCTCGGAGAACGCCGACAATAAAGGACGGCTACGAGATGGTCGTGACGACAACAGAGTTGACTGGTGGTCGGCGACAAGGACTGATGATGGCAAAGAACAGAAGCCGTCGAAATGATCGGAAGTTGCAGGTTGTCGATACAATCTGATATAAAGAGGGCTCGGTGCGTACAGACGCGATGGGCAAAGAAGGAAGAAAACATTGCGGGTAAGGATTAGCGTTGCGTACGGAATGGCCGTGACTGACTACAACCTATGAGCTCGGTGAGGATGGCGTCGAAGGGTGATTGGTATCACCGGGACAGGTCTGTGATATCGCCGGATCCGTAATCGGATTCCGACCAGAGATCGAACTTGCTACGAATCCATGGCCGACGTCTCGACTCCGTCAATCTCTTCTCTCCCGACGAATCTCCGTCACCAATTGCTTTGCTTGATGGTGATTCTGTTAGCCCCTTGACGGTTGTCCAAGGGAAGACATGGGCATTTCAAGGCCATGCCATGTCTTAGGAATACGTTGGCTTTGATTAGACAGCCATGAGGGTGCTCAGTGGGTTGTCAGCGTGCACAAGATGCTCAGCGTGCACACAAGATGCTTAAAAGGGATGCTCGGCGTGCACTGGGGGTGCCCAGTGGCACTTTCGTAAATATGGCGAAAAGTGAAACTTGGAGTTTTGACTCGGGATCTTTATGGGAGATACCTTGAGTCCATAGAAGCTGGTTGGCGCAGACGGCACTTAATTTGGATGTCGGGAAAGGTCTGAAAGGCCATTATGACTCCTCAAGCATGGGTGATGTTTACTCCTGTCAGAGTGCTGGATTTCCTTAAGACTATATTAGGGGGGGGTCTGTTGAGCGCATCGGTTGGGCTATGGCATGGCTTGCTTAGAGGGCTTAGCCAACGTGCATGGGCACGTGTTGCACCACTCCAAGATGGTTGCACAAGTGGGGAGCATCCAAGATATTGAAGGGCAAATAAGTATGCACCGACACGCGCGCTGGAGTGCAGCGGCGTGCGTGCGGGCGTGCAGGTTGGCGCGCGGGTAGGCGTCCAACCTAGTGTGCGCGAGCGTCTAGCTCGGCGTGCACATGGGCGTCCAGGTGGGAGTGCAACCACGGGCGCATGAGGGTACAAACATGGCGCGCAAAGAAGGGCACTAGTGTGTGCGCCGGCGTGCACTTTGGTGTGCACCCGAGCGTGCGCACGGGCGTGCATGGCTTGGCACGCCGTGCACTCAGAGACATATATATGTGGGTGCAGATTGGTGGACTTGGGCTAGGTTCACAAGGTTGACTCAGATGTGGCTAGAGCATGGATAACACAAAGTCATGGCTTGCGGTTACAAGAGGTGGTGGCTTAGTGGGCTCGGTTGGTTGGGGGAAGTTACTAGCACTTCCCACTCATCATGGGAAGTGGGGGAGTGCTGAGTAACCTCCCAAACATGTGGCACAATTCTGAGAGGACCAACACACAGGCGGTTAAGGGTGGTTTCCTCCACCATGCAGAATCTAACTTCTTGTGGTTATGTGGCATGAGCAGAACATGCCAACAAGTCTAGCAGTTGGGCTTGTCAACTGCATTATAGTGCTGGCTCATTTAGAGGGTGCCAGCACGACCCTAGGTGGATGGGGGTGTCATCCATCATCTTAGTGGGCAGTTATGGGCGGTTTTGAGAGTGGCCTATATAATGCTAAGGTGGGCTTTGTAGAGGGGACAGAGAAGAGGGTGTGAGCCTTGGTTGTTCCTTGTACGAACTCATGTTCCTTTGTAATATGTTTAATATGAGCAAAGGTTGGGGCTTGTCCCTGTAAACTGTGTGTGCCTTCTTTATATTTCTATATTGTGTGTATTGTGTTGTTGTGTTGGCTGAGACTTGGTGGCCCCAAGTGCCATTGCAGAGGCAAAAATTCGTGGTGTAATTTAGCCCTGTGACAATTGGTATCAGAGCCAGGTTCTACGATGGCTGGAGGTAATACTCGTGAAAGAGTTTCCCATTTGGAAGAGTTCGTGGGTTTTCCTACAGAAACAGAGGTACAAGATGGTGCAGAGAGCCTTGTTGTTCGAATTGAAAACTTGGCTTCTGAATTGGAGATCTTGAAGACTGATCCTGATGGGTTTGGTGACTTCATGCAGGCCACCAAAGAGCAATTGTCCCGTATCTCTGAGGATGTTGAGTCACTGACTGACGTCTTCAAGAAGAACCTGAAAGACCTTGAAGATGAAGTGTCCTTGGTGAAGAGGGCCATTCATGGGAGTTCCAGAGGCGGTGGTGATCCTCTTTCGCAGAAGATCAAGGTGCCGGATCCCAAGTCTTTCAGTGGTACCCGAAATGCCAAAGAGTTGGAGAATTTCCTATGGGACATGGAGCAGTACTTTAAGGCTGCTCGGATCCCTGATGGCGAGAAGGTGACCATTACAAGCATGTATCTGTCCGGTGATGCAAAGCTATGGTGGCGCACACGGACAGAGGACGATGCTTCTGCGGGTAGGCCTCGGATTGAAGTTTGGGAGACCCTCAAGAAGGAATTGAAGGACCAGTTCTTGCCTCAGAACACTGCATGGATTGCAAGGGAATCTCTGAAGAAATTGAAGCACACAGGTACCGTTCGTGACTATGTGAAGGACTTTAGTTCCTTGATGCTGGACATTCGAAATATGTCAGAGGAGGACAAGCTGTTCAATTTCATGTCCGGATTGCAACCATGGGCTCAGGCAGAACTCCGTAGGCAAGGTGTGAGGGACCTTCCTACTGCCATGACAGCGGCAGATTGTCTTGTAGACTTCAAAATGACTGGGTCTACTACACAAGACAAGAAGAAGTCCAAGGAGGGGAAGAAAGACAAAGGCCAGTCCTTCAGGTTCAAGGACAAAAAGAAGGACAAGAATCAAAAGAAGGATAAAGGGGGTGGCTTTGTCAAGGCCAAGGCAGATTACAACAACAAAGGGAGTAGTAGTGGGACTAAGCCCAACTACGGTTGTTTCATCTGCAATGGTCCCCATCGTGTTAGGGACTGTCCCAAGAGGGAGAAGCTGAGTGCTATTGTCGCTGAATCAAAAGGAGACTCAGACTCGGAATCTGGTCCAACCCGAGTTAATCCTCTGCAAATGCTGAATGCTCTTACTGAAGAACAGTCCATGGAGTTGAAAGGGCTCATGTTCATTCAGGTGACACTGAACGGCAAGGAAGTTTTGGCAATGGTGGACACGGGGGCCACTCATAACTTCATTGCGCAGAGGGAAGTAAGTAACTTTAATTTAAAGTTAATTCCACATGCTAATAAGATGAAAGCTGTGAATTCTGAAGCCAAGCCTGTTTTAGGCATGGCCACCACTTCTATGAAAGTTAGTTGTTGGGAGGGCGTAGTTAGTCTTATGGCTGTTCCCTTAGATGATTTTGATCTAATTCTTGGAATTGAGTTCCTTACGAAAGCCAGAGTGATAGTTGTACCATATTTGGGAGGAGTTTTTATTTGGGACAGGAGTTGTCCATGTTTTATTCCATCAGTGGCTCTTTATGGGCACTAAAAGAAGGAAGATCGTAAATATGGTTGCATCGAAATAATCTCTGCATTGCAAGTGAAAACAGGTTTGAAGAGAGGAGACTCTACCTTTCTTGCAGCTATGATAGAGATCAAACCGGACCAGCTTGTTGAAGTTCCGGATTCTGTTGCTGAAATTCTAGAGGAATTTGCAGAAGTGATGCCACCAAAACTACCCAAGCAATTGCCCCCTCGACGTGCTGTTGATCATAAGATAGAGTTGGAGCCGGGTGCAAGGGCTCCTGCTCAGGCCCCATATCGGATGGCGCCTTCAGAACTGGCTGAACTGCGTAGACAGTTGGATGAGTTGCTGGAGTCTGGCTATATTCAACCATCCAAGGCACCGTATGGCGCGCCAGTGTTGTTCCAGAAGAAGCAGGATGGCTCAATGCGGATGTGTGTGGATTATAGGGCTCTGAATAAGGTGACTGTGAAGAACAAGTACCCAGTGCCCAATGCCGCAGACTTATTTGACAGGTTGTCAAGGGCATCCTATTTTACTAAGCTGGATTTA